CTGAGTCCAACAAATGAAACAGAAGCAACTGCAAATCAGGAAATTCCCACACCAGCCGCAAGTCAAGACAACAACTCACCAAGTACAAGTACTGATACTCAGCAACAAATCACTATTCAAGATGAAGGTGACTCAATCAATGTGGAGGAAAACAACATTGAAACAACCATGGCATCAAATGAAGACACTGTTGAAACAAGTAATAACATCAGTGATCAACATGAAGTGGTGGCAACTCACAAAATGCGCACTAGAAGCAAAGCAGGGATTCATAAACCAAAGTTACCCTACATTGGCCTCATTGAATCAGAAATACAAGAAACTGAACCAAGAAATGTGAAGGAGGCACTCACTAGTCCACTTTGGAAGGAAGCAATGACTAATGAGTACAATGCTCTCATGTCCAATCACACATGGAATCTAGTACCATACACAGGCCAAGAAAATATCATTGACTCAAAATGGATCTTCAAAACCAAATACAAAGCAGTTGGATCCATTGAAAGGAGAAAGGCGAGATTAGTTGCTAAGGGTTTTCAACAAATAGCTGGATTAAACTATGATGAAACATTCAGTCCTGTGGCAAAGGCTAGCACAATCAAAATTATCCTATCAGTAGCAGTTCATCTCAACTGGGACATCAGACAATTGGACATAACCAATGCATTTCTAAATGGCTACCTAAAAGAACATGTCTTTATGCATCAACCAGAGGGATTCCTCAACTCCACACATCCAAACTACATCTGCAAACTTTCAAAAGCAATCTATGGTCTGAAACAGGCACCAAGAGCATGGTATGACAGTCTCAAATATGCACTGCTAAGTTGGGGATTTCAGAACACCAAAAGTGACACTTCACTATTCTTTCTCAAAGGTACTGATCACACTACCTTTCTCCTCATGTATGTTGATGATATCATCATCACATGTAGCAATAACAAATTTCTGGAAGCTTTCATCAAACAGTTAAACATTGTGTTCTCATTAAAGGATCTTGGAAAATTACACTATTTTTTGGGAATTGAAGTACAAAGAAACATTAATGGCTTGTACTTAAAGCAATCCAAGTACATTAGAGACTTGCTCAAAAGATTTAACTTTGAAAAAGTTGCTGCTTGTCCGACACCAATGGTAAGTGGTAGACAATTTACCATTGAGGGGGAACCAATGAAAGATGCAACTCTATTCAGACAAGCCATGGGAGCACTGCAGTACCTAACCAACACAAGACCTGATATAGCTTTTTCTGTGAACAAATTAAGTCAGTACATGAGTTGTCCTACAATGGACCACTGGCAAGGCATAAAAAGAATATTCAGATATCTTCAAGGTACCATTGATCACTGCCTTCTCAGATGCGGATTGGGCAACAAGCATAGACGATAGAAAATCAATTGCAGGGCACTGTGTTTTCCTTGGTGAGACTCTAGTATCGTGGTCTTCAAGGAAACAAAAGGTAGTGTCAAGATCATCAACTGAGTCAGAATATAGAGCATTGGCAGATTTGGCAGCTGAAATCACGTGGACATGCTCACTAATGCAGGAGTTAAAATTGCCCCAATTAAGAAAGCCTACTTTGTGGTGTGACAATTTGAGTGCCAAAGCTCTTGCTACAAATCCAGTGATGCATGCTAGAACCAAACACATTGAAATTGATGTGCACTATATCAGAGACAAAGTACTGCAAAATGAAGTCACAATTGCCTATGTACCAACAGCAGATCAAGTTGCAGACTGCCTCACTAAAGCCCTCACTCACTCAAGGTTCAATCTATTAAGAGATAAACTTGGAGTAATTGCATCACCCACAAGTTTGAGGGGGGAGTTAGACAAGTCACTTAATGATGACTTAATAGTATTAAGCATACAAATTATATGTAATTAGAATACTTGATTTTGTCTTTATTTGTTTCCTTATTAGGAGCTTGTATGATCTTCTCTCTTGTGTATAAGTACATCATTGTTGTAATGAGAATACATAACATTAAAACCATTATATTCATATTTCTGAGTTGCTAATGTAATAGCCACCTAATTTTTTAGAAGAGCTGTGCTATTTTTACACCTTTTTCCATACATCATGTATGCTACACCATATATAACAACAAATTATACTGATTTTGCACAAAAATCAAGGTGAACAAATTATTAAAAAATAAAATTAATATGTATTGTATATAAAATTACGGTGTAGGTGTTATAAAATAGTGTCAAAATATCTTTTCCCTTTTTTTAGAATATAAAAGGGTGAGAAAAATTGTTTTAAATTTTAGTGTTTTGATTCAACTTTCTTAAAGAATAGGAGATGAGATTAAAATATTTTTAAATTAAATCTGACTAAATATTCGCATGGAAGATAATATTTGTAAAATTGAAATATTTTTGTTTAATGTGATTATAGATATTGAAAAATTAAAAAAAAAACAAAAAATTCTTAATTAAATTAATTATTCTCTTTTGGTGCAGCCAATCACAATGAATTTTAAAAGATACTTATAGAAAGAATATTGGTTAACTCATAGGAGTATTGGTTAATATGACCTAATAAAAATATAAAAGTGAAGTTGATAACTCATGAAAGTAGAAGCGAAAGAAATGGCTGAAAATAAAATTTAGCAAAACTGGTCCCGGCGGGGCTCGAACCCGCGACCTTCGGCTCATAAGACCAACGCTCTAACCAACTGAGCTACGGGACCAATACGTATGCAATTATTTCTTGTTTTTATTTATATGCACATGTTATATTTTCTAAAATTTAAACTCTTCCATTTTTCACATCACAGCAGGTTTTATCCTCCTCATCGTATGAATATACTTTCAAGAGTATATGTCTGTATAAAATCCAACCATTGAAATGTATTTTTTGTTATTAATATAACTCTATGATTTAGCATGGTAAAATAGGAGTACTATAGTAATTATTGACACTGTTTTTCCAGTTACTTTTTATAGAAAATTTTCTGTGATATGAGTTGGGTAGATATTAGTTACACAACAAACACACTAACATGGAAATGTAATTAACTCTTCTCTGTATCTATAATAAAGATATTTAAGGACCCGATCTCTTGAGCGTTTGTTGAGCCACTCATTACTACTTCAACGGTAATAGTAATTTACTTAATGATTTTTCACCAACAAAGATGATTTTACATAAGGTGTAAGTATATTACCCTAAATAGAAGGGATAGCATAGCATTACTCCCATGCTGAGGACAGACCTGAATGGAACATTAATTGGAGCAGGCTTGGTTGGTTGGCTTCTTAAAAATTGGCTTCAAATATTGTACTATTGTTGTTCCACAAAAATCTTGGTTCAAAATATTTATACCAAATTATAAGGGCAATTTTGCAATTTAGACATGTATAGTTATACTATCATATTCAAACTAAGCTGTAAGGGCATTCAAACGTGATTTTGGATTTAATCATAGAGATGATAAAACATCTATAGTTTTAAAAGTTATCAGATTTTTGTAGTTGTTAGTTTTCTATTTTTTTTCAACATGTTATAGTCACAAATTTTCATAATAATCATTTAACGATGACTGTTAATCTCCCTCAAGAAACTTGTAGGTAAGTTTTGAACTCTTAACCACTTATTTAAAAGTCAAAATTGTTTACCGATTGAAACAATATATATTAAGTTTTTATATTCTTTTTTTTTTTTATAATAAATTTATTGTCATATATAATAAAGTTTATAAAACAAACTTATAAATAAAAAATGTAAATTTATATAGACCTTATTTTAAGATAAATTTTTATTTAACCACAACAAAAAATTAGGTATGGCTGCCCATAAGTTAAAATGCATTGACCAAGAAAAAAATCATTCAAAGCATTTAAAATTTAAATAATTTAATAAATATTAAATGTGATTATAAAATTTAAATAATTTAATAAATATTATATGTGATCAAATTAATTGGTATTAACTTGATAGATTTTGAGTAGGCTTGTTAAAACAGATCTGATCCATGGAATATGTTCCGTCGGATATGTATGTTTTACATGTATTTTTTGTGGGACTGATCAAAGTTTTAAACTTACATTCTTTAATATGTACGCTCTATTTTGTCTTTTGGCGAAATTTTGCTGGCACATGTATTAATATTTATGGATGTAAGGCTCACATTCTCGCCTGCCTTCATTATTTTTGGAGCGGGACAAGATTTTAGGTCTACATCCTTAAATATGTGCGTTTTGTCATGCTTTTTCCCGACTTTTGCAAATGCATATATTAATAAAAAATTTTGCAATGTTTGACATGAATATGTTCTTATAAGTGGAGGCAATATCACCCTATAAATCGGTTTTTAGGGTTGAGTTAGGTTCAACCACATTTTTAACATGGTATCAGAGTCTCGTTTAAGATCTAGTGGACCACATGCTATTAGATTTTCGTTATCGAACCACCCACCATTTATTTTTACGCTTCGAATGTTAGTCCTGGACGTGAGAGGTGTGTTAAGAGTTTGATATCGAACAATATATGGCTTGAACACTTATAAGAGCATTCCTCATCCAATTTTATAATGTTACCCAACCATATTTCTTAACAAAACATATGCATGTGAAGCGCTCCACTTCGCATTATTTTTTTTATAGGACGTGCTAAAATTTTAAGTCTACATTCTCAAATATGTTTGTCCCACCTTATTTTTTGCGAGCTTTTGAGAATAAGACTAACGAAACAAGTATGATATATCCTACTTGTATGGTCAATAGATAAGTTGTCACCTCTGATGAGTACATACAACAATTGACATTTAAGAAAGAAACATTTCTATGAAACTTCAAATTTGGTCATGTGAAAGTGAAGTATTTACATAAAGGCCATCCATCATCCATCACATTAAAATGAAATGCCTTGGCAACCAACTATCAAGTAGTATAAAAGAAGGAAGTGCAGCAACATTCTCTCAAAATATTAAACCTAACTAAACCTCCAAAAGTGACTGAGATAGATCTAGTAGCAGTTAAGAAAAACAAACATGGAGAGAGTGACAAAGGCGTTGATGATGTTGAGTCTTTTGTTGGTGGTTCTTGGTAACGTGGAAGGAGGTAGAAGGATGCTGAAAGAGAGTGTGAAACATCCAGAGACTTTCAATCTTGGAGGAGGGAATGGTAGGCTTCCAAGCACTCCTCCTGGTAATTTTGCTGCAGGTGTAGGGTTTGGTCCTGACGGGTTAAGGTTCTGCACCTTCCCTGGTGGATGTACCAATGGTATCCTTCCCAATATCCCTGGAACTAGTGTTGGAAATGGAGCCGGAGGTTTAATACCGCATCCATAGATCAATACTACAACAAAGCTTGCTAAAGGATGAACTATAGCCATAGGGAGTAGTAAGTAATGTTTGATTTTCCACCAAGTTCTTAATGCTATAAGCACGTAGTAGTATGTAGAACTTGTTTAAGTTTGATTTTTCATGTTCAGTATGTTTTCTTTGTATTTGGCTGCTTTGACCTTCAACCTAATTATTAGGAACATTATATTATATTATATTATATTATGAGTATTAATATTACTACATTAATATGGTGTCTAAGTTATTATCAAGAAGGAGGTTATAAAAATGGGTCCTTATTTATATTTTATTTTCTTGTTCCATTAATTGAATTGAACCAACTTTTTAATTATTATTGTAGGATTTGTGATATGGTGGTAGTTGAAAAGTGGACTAGTAAATTTTATTAAAAATATTGAATTTATTTTTTATTATTTTAAATTTCATGTCTTTAATTAAAAGTGGCCGTTAAAAGATTGGAATTATTTTTTATTGTTTTTTTAAATACACTTCTTGTGGTATATGTCTCTGCTGCTCTCAAGTATAAACAAAAATGCTTATATTTTTTTTAACAAGTATAAGCAAATCTGAGTGCTTTTACATCAATTAATATTGTATAAATGCCCTATAAATGCATTGTACTGATACTGTTTAGTATTAAACACAAAATCGAACATTAATACCGCATAAATGCATTGTATTGAACTCATTAGTATTTTATGCAGGGGTGTTCAAAATTAAATCAACCTAATAGAAAATCGTAAATAAAATAAAATTAAATTAAAATTACAAAAATTTACAATTGATTCAGATGTGTTTGAGTCATTTTTTAATAAAACTGTGCGGTTTATTTTGATCAGCGGTTTGTATTTTACAAAGCGAACTAAACTAAACTAAATTGTATTATGTTATCCAACTTAAAATTAAAACCTATTATGCCTCAACATTACAAATATTTTCTTACTCGCACTTAGAGTTTTAGTTTCAACCTAATAGTATCACACATTTTTCTCATCTTCTTTGTCATGTATGTCTCACATCTTCTACTTTAATCTCTCCTTTCTTATGTTCTTTTTTTTCATCTTCTCATTTTTATGTTATTGATTTATTTTCTAATTACGTTTTTATCGCACATTTCTTCTCTAATCCCGCATCTCTTATGTTAATTCTTTTTCATCTTCTCTAATCTCTCATATCCTCCGTTTTTTCTTTTTTATTTTAATATTTTTGATATTATTTTATTCTATTATTTTATTTATTTTTTATTTCACTTTTGTCTAATCTTATTTTGGTATATTGAATGAGAAGTTTTTTGTCTACAAATCATGAGTTTTGTTGTTATTTGGTAATGTATGAATGATTAAATACAAAGTTATATTGTTCTCTATAGGTGTATGTATGACTCAATAAAATTTTTGTAAAAATCTGAACCAACCCAAACCGCATTTGTTTGGTTTGGTTTGGTTTGGTTTCTAAAAGCCAATCGAACCAAACCAAACCTCATGTTTTTTTCTCTTGCTGTTCGGATGATTTTTAGCGTCAAAGCCGCCCAAACCGCACCGCGAACACCCCTAATTTTATCTTTGTTTGGACCAAAAAATTTAAACAGTAAGTTAGAGATTGATAAGATAACGCTGATATTTCATCTTTGATGGTTCATTTTTGATTTAGAAGAGTGATAAGGGTGGTGCCTGCAAGAACACTTAGATGCACAAGTTAGTGGATAAATAAGGCAGAGAATAATATTTTTAGATTTTCGAGAGTGTGTATTTTGATTTGACGTTTGTAGTCCTTTATATAAGGGTTTATTAGAATTTTCGAAGACCCATAACCCTCAACTTCAATCATGGTAGTCCGAGCACACATGTATCAACATTATGATTTGTTTTGTTATTTGGCGGTTCTACTTTGGTTTTCTAGTTGAATTAGTTATTTTTAGAGCATGTCTATGTTTGCTCCATAACTCTTAGAACCTTCTGCTTGAAAAACGGTATAGATAATTTGGCCTCTAACGTCACTCACTTGTTGTCACTTTATCATAGATATATTTGCTTTCGTGTTCCATGGTTATATTGGATTCATTCCCATTAGGCCAAATCATTCCATGTGGCTATGAAATTTGGTTATAAGGAATTTAGCCAACTCTTAACTATGTCCCTTAGAGAGTATGGGAACAATCTAGGCTTGAAAGAATCATCACTTATCCATGGGCGTGTTAGGAATGACCTAAGTAATTTGATTTTTGTTTCTTTAAATTTTGTGCTAGCCCATTTATGAAGGATGTGTTCGAGTAAATATGTGAGTGAAGTATAATGATTGAGCCTTTTAAGGGAACCTCTGAATTTTATATTTATGTTTTTATCATTTTTGTGATAGTGGTTGGAATGATGCTTTCTGGAATATTTTTTGTAGAATGATTCTATTTCCATAACTTTATGGGTTTTCCATCGAGCAGATAATTGAGGATTTGTTCTGGGAGTTTTCCATTCGCTCAATGCAACAACTTTAATCCTAAGTCATTTTTGTATATTCTTGAACGAACGCCAAGGATGGATTTTTTTACTATCCATATAGTTGGGTTATCACTAGGGGGTCGAATCATTGTTTAGATGACGAAGTAGCATTTCCTTTGTTGAATAGGACAACATTGTGTGCATCAATATTTTTCCTATGAGCTATTGAAGATAAACATTTGAGTTTTTTCAAGGGAAACGAAACTTTGGGTCCCTACCTGGTGCGCCACTCATCTGGGTTAGATTAAGATGAATGGATCTATAAGATAGGGTACAAGCTAGAGGCTGATCTAGGTTGGAACCGACAAGATCTAACATCCAAAAACTTTATCATTCATATTAGTAAGACAAGGAAAAGTGAGAGGTGTTATAATAGAAGTGATATACCTTAGACTCTAATTTAAAGGCTTTATAAAGTTGTTTTATGAAGACTGCAATTATGAGGGATATTGTGAGTATTTATGGTCCTCCAAATTTCTTACCATTGTTGAATTTAATGTCCCCACATATGCCTCGTACCGACTCTTAATAACTAGACTATGAGCCTGTTTAAAGGTTAGATTGGACTATTCAGTCCATAACATAAATAAGTTAGAATGCCTTTTATTTCAGGCTATCCACAAGGCTCAAAGACCTTTACATCCCCAAATCCAGTGGTCGGGTAGAGGCATATGTTATAAACCCTCGTCTGGAAAAACAAGAATATGAGGGTAATTATTTTGGACACTCCACAACGCCCAAAGGGAAAAGTCCCAATAGAAAAGTAAGACACATATAATGAAGAACATGTAGTCTCTTTTTACTCTCTGAGTAAGCAGTTCCACACACTAAAACTTTGCTAGCCATCCAGATCAATCTGATGGCTAATTGTGATCCACACTTTTGGATTGCCAGTAGTTTCTTATATTTATAAGGGAAAGCACGCCATTTATTAGGTATTAAAATTCATTCTCATTCATACTTCAATTTTATCTCTCATACTGACTTATGTGTTTGAGTGATAATCTTGCAGGTCAGTCCCCTCCCCACCACATCAGACACTCAAGAACATAACAATAAGCTGTGTATCCTAACTCACTCATCAAATTTGGTTTCACTATGGAACATTGGCGTCGTTTATGGGAATTGATTTCTGATTCTAATAAATTTCTACAATCAAATCTCTCATGATTCAATCAATTATCCTCTGTTAGAAATTCAGATCTCAATTTCTCGATTACTTCTCTCGAATTTCAACTTTCATTCCTTCAGACCTTACCTTAGATATCCTTGTGATTCATCTACAATGGTGGCTTCCAAAGCTACTCGTTCTACTCTTCAACGGCAAGTCATTGTCATTGTTGTTGAAGTGGCCAAAGATCCAATACTTCTTCCTCAAAGAATGTATTATCAAGTTCTTGTAACCTCTTTGTTTATTCCTTCGTTGAAAGCTCGTGTCAAACCTAGGGCAAGTCAGGGAGCATTCTAGCCTATTTCATTCCTTATATTCACCTTATGTTTCCACTTGGGAAAATCTTCACTCATAACTCCACCATTGCTTGTGATGCACGGACAAGAGATGTTTCCTGGCTTTCAATTGTTACAAGATAAGCTCATTCATCCAGGGAGAAAATGATTTGTTGAAGAGTGTTTACAACATGGTGCAACAACTGAATTCTTAGACCTTAGCACAAAGAATATTTAGATTTGAAGAAAGCCTACAATATGTCAATCTGAGGAGCAATATCATGCAAGAAGCGGCCTCCCAAAGAACCAAGATATCATCCCTGAATTAATACCAATCCGACCGGGAATACATCAAGAATAAGTCCAGTTATCGTCAAAGACATCATAGACACAACACTAATTGCCCTAAACCCGAGGGGGAAAGAGGTAGATATGGTTCTCCAGAAGTCTTCTGCCCCTGAAAAATAGAAAGATATCAAGAAGACACTCTACTACTTAGCCCTAGAGAAAAAGAAAACCCCTTATTTGCTTGCATCCTCGATATTATGATTCCAAGATCACTAAATAAATCGTTGAATCTCGAGATCTATGATGGGACCGGTGATCCTGATGAACATGTCGAGCACATAGGTAATTGTCTAGACTACTACCACGCCCATGGGGCTGTAAAAGGCAAACTATTTACATTAAATGTGATCGAACCATTGATGGCTTGGTTCAAATCTCTTCCTGATGGAAGTATAGATTCTTGGACCAACCTATGTGAGGCTTTCACAATGCTTTACTGTCTGAAATAGGAAACCTGCAACCATGAATATGCTCAGTGGAATCACCCAAGGTAAAAAAGAACCATGCTCAGGTACATCGACCGCTTTATCAATGTTGTAGGGGTTGCGAGAGGCTGTGATAAATTTTTGAAGTGTTTTATTTTCAAAAGGGGTTTGAGATAGGACCAATGATAGATGCAGATGCATCCATAAGTGGGTTCAAGTCCCAATAAAACTAAAAAATATTGTTAATAAATATCATAAAAAAATTTAAATTGTC